ACACAACCTAAAAACAAATATATATTTGGCTAAATATTTGGCTTTCCAAAGCAATGAAAATCTTGGGTATAAGGTTTACAGAGCAGAATGCATAAGTGAGTGTGAAGCACTGAAACAAAAAATGTGAGAACTAAAGAGTGTGAAAAGAAAATTGACTATGACAGCTTTAATTGTCATATTATCAATACCAATAAAGTGAACTTCTAGTTTTTAAATGGAGCATGTGGCATCTAAAGGGGAAAAAAATATTACCTGTGGAAATTATGGGCTTCTTGACTACTGTTAACTTATTTAGCATAGCAAATAAAAGCATTAGAGAATAGTTACATAAGGTTTGTCTTTCATTTGCACTATAAATCACAAGGGAGAGAAGAAAAGTCTGTCCTCCTAAGCTATTTCATATTCTCAGAAAGAACAATAAAAAAAAAAAAAGAAAAAAGATACTATTCTACATTTGCTGGCAATAATGATAACCAACATGCTGATCATAAATAACACTGGTTCACTTCACAGATCTAAGACCATAACCCAATCAAAAGTATAAAGGACAGCCAGTGTTGTAGTTTGATTAGCCTTAGGGATTTACAAAGCAAGTTAGTTTCATCCTCAGTCTCAATTTGAAATTTAAAAGAACGCTTAAAGCACTTTGGTTTTGCAACTACCACTTTTAGAGTGCTTTTCCATGGAGATGTCTAGCCAGCTTCACACATTTTCTCAAGTACTAACAACTAGAAGACCAGATTCTATAAATACCAATTTTTATAAGCTAAACAGTTAAATCTCAATAACAATTCTAGTCATATTGGGTTTTAGTTTTAGCTCTCTACTGAAATGGAGACATCATTTCTCTCTCAACCAGCAAGAACACTAAACTACTTTTACTGAATACCACTTACTAATAATAAATAGTTTCCTATGAATATGGAAGGATAGAAATAAGAAAATCCAGTGTGTATGGGTTTTTTTCTATTCATTTTAAGGTGGCTACGGATGTCCGGAAACTAGACAGGAAACATATAGGACTCATTACTGCTGCTTAAATATGTAATCTGGTAGACAGCATCAACACACATTGTAACAGAAAACATTCAGATCCAAATGCTCTCAAGTACAGCATACCCTAAAACAGATAGATGCAATGTAAGCTTTTCATGTAGCTTTACATATTCATTGGATTTCAAAAGCAAAGGGCTTTTTGTTTGATTTATAGTCAAACTGTACTTCTCAGTTTCTCGCAATCGCTTTTGATCTGACTGGCTAGCTTCAACCAAACCTGGCAGAAAAACGTAGGTTTTGGTCACGGCTGTGTGCAGGGCAGGGGAAAAAGGGACCCTGCTACCTAGTGCCCCATGGAGGAAAAAGCTTCAGTGACTGTTCAGTCATGAGCACGGCTGTCAGGTGGCCTGTCAATAGACCAGAAGAGATCCAAACCTTGTGCTGCCTCTTGCCCTGGCATCATTTGAAGAACCTAGGGTGGAACCAGGCTTACTACTAAGTTAGGTGGAAGAAGGGATCAAAAAAGGAAATCAGGCATCATATTTCACTTGCTGAGAAACAACTTACATTTTACTAACATCCATACATAAGAAAAGCAGCTTTGCTTTTCTTTGTAGTTTACAAACAAAAAAAATTCGAACCCATTAAGTTAAACAAAAATTTACAATCATACAACACTTTCACTTGCTTCACCAATGGCTAAGATGGTGCCATTCAATTAATATGTTTAGTATTTTTATCTCATCTCAAAAGATGGATTAAGGTTTCATTTACTACACATTATTTAAATTTTACACTGAGGATGGCAAATGTTGCTTTCCAATGAGCATCTATACATTGTTCATGGACACAGTATGAGTGCTTTCTGAACAGTAATGACCCTAGCCTCACAGCATCCGCACAACTAACAGCTCTGTTCTTCCCATTTTACAAACGGAAAATAGAGGTGCAGAGAGGTTACTGAACAACGACCATCAGTTTTGATGTTAGCTTTTTTCCCCAAATACTTCATGCCATGTAGAGTTACTTGGGTTTGAAACAGCTCCCTTTGAGTTCAGTAAAAGCTATGAATGCTAGTCACTTTTGCACATCAAACTTCTATCCTGAGACCATGAACACACAATTATAAACAGCTACAGAGTCTATAACACCAACAGAAAGAACTGCATTAACTCATTTGAACTCTGGCATAACATGGTAGAACAGGGTTTCCCCAAATTTAATCCTGTTTGAACCCATTTTGTTTTTAGGAAATGGGGGGGGGGGGGAGGCCCATTTAAAAATACTCAGTGACAAGAAGTTATTTATGTTTAGTAATGCATTCCAATGATTAATTAGTCCAGTAAGAACACACCCCTTATTTGAAGTCCGAGCTTGCTTAATTCAGCTTCCAACCACAGAACTGTGGTATACCTTTGTCAGCTGAAGAGAAGGTTGCTTTTATCAAATACCTCTTCCTCAAGTAGGTACTTATTGACTAATGAAGAAACCCTTAATATTGCCTTAGCTAAGCTAAACAAAGTAAGTACCTTACATCTTAATTACTAAGACTGCTGTCCCCTTCTCCCAGTCATTTTCAAGGCTATTCTCTGGAAGCTGATTTTTCAGCCATCCTCCCTGGACTGTTAACACCAGATGTGCTGCTCCAGTAACAGTTACGGCTAAATAGATAATACACAACCTCCTTATTTCCAGTTCCCTTGCTCAACTCTTCAAAGTTTTTCACCAGACCTTTTAGCTACAGCCAAAAGGATTAACTTCAGCTCCTATCAGTCATCAACACCAAATCTTTTTCAGAGTCTCAGACTTGGTCCCCCTACTTGTTGCCCAACTCAGTATTTAGCTGCACTGATTCTGCCATGAAATAAGTGTTACCTATTGTTTCATGTGTCCAATTAATTAGTGATCTCAATCACTTTGCAACCTTACTAATGTTCTTTTACTCCCAAATTTATGATTTTCTAGGTAGTAAAAACATCTGAAATAATTCCAACACAGTAATTTACAATTAGAAACTTGGATAATTTGTAACCTCAAGTAGCAGAGGTTAATGCAATGTATGCAACAGCAGACTTATCTCTAGTATGCACCAACACTTGCAGATACGTAACACACTCTGCTGTTGGATTTTGCATGTTACACATGCACAGCCCTGCCTAGGGATCCGTGTTTGCAAGAACCTGAATCTCTAGCCAAGGCCTTTCTAGAATTCTTAACTAATAGGAGTAACTACAGTTTATTTTGTAACACAAAATTTAACAAATCTTTAAAATACTCCAGAACCAACCCACAAGCAATGTGTGTTAAAGATTATGATAAACAAAAATACAGTTGGATTTCCACTGTATAAATTGATAAACCTAAGCAATAGGTGCTTTGAAAATATACAAGCTTTCAGTCTGTGGATTTACATATATAATTACATGGTTCTTTAAAGATTTTCTTCAAAAGGTAAGATATCTCATGGACCAATTCAAAAAGACAGAGCTGTATGACCAGAGCACAAGTTCCTGCCCAGAATTCCAGAATTCCTTACCAAAGTATTCGCAGTGAAAAACAAAGACAGACCAGCACACCAGGTATAGCAAATGCCTCAAAGCAAAATATGTTAGCTTTAACGTAATGGAAACCTTTAAATGTTTGAGCTTTGTTTTCTTATGTCAGATGAATTAGGATCACAATCTTAGGCTACTTCATATTGTCTGACTCTAAGACTTTTGTGAATATCAACACTGTCCCTCTGACTGTAAGCAGGGCAGCAGCCTGAACTGTCAGAGGCTCCAATCCAGCTCAGCTTCACTATTTTAGTGAAGGTGGAGCAGGGAGCACGGAGTGTCTAAAGGAGAAGAGACTAGAGAAAGAGAAAAATAGTATCTTCCCATAAAACTTCTCCCCTTTTTCAAAGGACTGCATAATATTTTCCCCAAATGTAAGAGTGTACATACTTACACACAATTCTTTCCTGGCTTTTTAAAGCACTATAAGCATTATTGGGTGGACTAACTAGGATGCAATCTTTTGTACCTGAACTTTAAAGGCACTTATGCAGGGTTTAATCTTCTCCATCAAAAGTCTTTAGAAATTACACAGCAGAAGGAAATCCATTCCTGTCAAGTTAAGTCATCCAGTTCCACACCTCTGACATGTATATTTCTGGTATGACAGCTGCTGTGACCTCAGGAGTGTCAGAAGGAAAAGGCTTCACCAGTCTTACTCAAGATCTTGTCACAGTTTCTCTCCTACACTGGAGTGACGGGTAGGTTACCCATACTAGGAAATACTTCCAACAGTTAAGTGTCAATGACATCTTCTGAGTTGATATGATCCTCCATGGATCATATAATGAAGGAACACACACACACACACATTTATGCAGCTTCCGTCTTCTAAAGCACTTTGCGATCAGTTCCACTCTGTCCCTGCACTGAGTGTCCATGTCTTCCTTTGTATTTTATGGGCAAACCCACAGACAAGGATTTGCTGAGCTGTTACCTTCCTTTCTACATTAATTAGCATACATTATCAGTCACAAAAGGAATTCATGTTGCTCCAGAGCATAAGGCCTTTTGAGATTCTATAAACTTAAGCAGAAGGGACAGGTAGAAAAAGATCTTCACCTAGTCAGAGTACACACTAGTTAGAGTAAGCACTGCATTGGAAGGGAACCATCAGGGTAAGCGATATTTAATGGCAGCAAAATAAAATATGAGAGTCAAGAAAAAAAATAGAAAACAAAGCACTGAAACACAGCTGGAGAATCTTGTAAAACCTTATTTGAAGTCCTAAATAAAAAAATAAAATTAAAAAACAACCAAAAAACAACAAAAACCACCAAGCAGAACAGATGCTGTTCCCCCATTCCCCAACTATTTTCCAACTGGCACTTGCCTGAAGATTCCTGCTAGGAGCTTTTTCTGATTTTCATCTTCCTGTCATTTTCATTCTTCTCAAATTTTATTACTTGATATGTAAGGCAAAAACTTAAGAAAGGAGGAAGAACTTACTGGTATTGAGAACTCCTCTGCCAAATACTTCAACACTGATGCTCCTCTAGCCAAAAAGTTACTTCTCTCTGCCAGGTTGCCTTGGAGTTTTGTGTCGAACTCCTTTCTGACAACTGAAGCAACGGAGTCAATTATTATGAGTTTAACTTTCTTTGAAATAATTTCTTCTTCCAAAGACATAATCCTAAAAAGGAAAACACAGCAACAAAAAACCCCAGTCATTGATAACATTATTTACACAATAGAACCATTTTATAACCCTGAAATTGTTTAAATAAAAGGTTTACTTTAATAAGCTGAAAGTCAGCCCCTCTTTTTCCCCCCTCACACACCACATCCACTAACACCTGCATGTATTGAAGAGATTTGGAAAGGAATCTGAGGCTCCAGTGGGCCACATAACTCGAGGCAGGACCCCTCCAAAAGATAGGTTTGGAAGAACCTCTAGTTAGCAACACTATGCTGTACCACCCCTGAATGGCAGGCAGCAATTAAGCAGACAGTGAAACTGTGTCTTTTTGCTCACATTAGCAGCATCCCATTGCCAACACCAGAATCCTCGGTGTCTATAGATGCAGAAGGTCAAATCCGTTTCCATATACCTCCAAATAAAGTATGCCAAACTAATCCATTGAGAATGTGCTACTAGCTATTCTCTGATAAAGCTACACTAGAAGAAACTATTCTTAGACTAATTCTCCCACTAACATAAAATACGCAACACCATGCTAAAATATAACTTAATTCATTTTCATCGCAAAATGTGTTCACAAACTAACATAAGGTAACAACATGACAATACAACACTGCCAACAACAGCATTCAGGCTGTTGAAACAATTCCTCCTTTCCACTGCTGGGGGGGGTCCCAGTCTTCCTGGAAATAAACTGTGCTTTGGAGGAGCAAACTCCTACTTCATGGAAAACGTAACCCTTATACTACGGTCTCTCCACAATCCAAAACAAGATCTGTCACATGAACATTCCCCTTTAAAGGCTTACACAGATCAGATCACACAGAAATTGTCTATCAGAAATTAGAAAACATCAAGTGGATTAGTCACACGCTACAAAATGAGAAGAGCAACGTCAGTCCTTCTGTAGCAATTTTGCTTTGCTGGAGATCGTGCTGTTATCAACATGAAAAGGCCTCAAACAAATCAACTGCTATTCATAAAACTTTGATATAAAACAAATATTGTTATAGACAATCCAGTCAAAATGGTCTTTTTTTTTAAACTCTGGAAAAAGAATACCTCTTCAGTACACTGCCACAGGTCAGCTCTCGATATAGGTGAATGCTACGGGTCATGCAGAACAGCTTTTCATCTGAGTCAAAGTAAGTAGGGAATCTGTTTCCTGCTATCTCAATCAACCTATCAAAAAAAACCAGAAGGCATAACACTGGAAAAAGGAATAATGTGGGATAATAGGACATCAAGTATTCACAAGGCAAACAAAGCAAACCTCTGAATGATAAGCAGATACCAAGTAATACTGGAAATCTTTTTTCAAAGAGAAGCATATTTCAGCAGACTGAAATACTGGAAGTCAGAACAGTTAGCTTCTCTTCCCAGTAATGCTAGAGTCAGTGGTACACTAGGTAAAGACCTAATGTGTCTGTACACAACATTGTATGTATGTACAACATATCTCCTGTAGAAGAAAACAGCAAAGTTTATAATTACTGAATGCAAGGTTCTTTGAGTTTTGTACAAGAGGTTCCACTCAATGGCCAAGCATTCTCCCATTTTAATATCTAAATATTATTTTCATTTAAACAAATGTACTCTCCAACACAAACCGTCTTCCCTTCCACCTTTATCTTGCAGTGAAATCATAAAGTGGACCTTGTGCCATCACAGAAATTTAACAAGCTGATAACAAACAGAAGATCCATTACAAAATCCAGCCAACATGGAAGCAAGACTGCAAAGAACAAAACCCAGTTCAGCTGCAAGTACTTATACAAGCAGTACCTGCATGGAAAGTATGCCTACCAAAGTGAAAATCTTTTCACAGGTAATCTCTCCTTAAAAACAAGATCAAGGTCATTTGGATGGGAGACTTTTTCACTGAAACCATTTCCATTCTGCCAGTTACCTCTTTGTAAAAAGGGCTTATAAATCTTAAGAAAACACACTTTTTAGAACACAGCAATTAAAAAAAGGAAAAAAAAAAACCAAGCATTGTGTCACAAATGACTGAGGCTCCAGCTGCCAGGCGGCTACCACAGAACATCCATCCATTCAGATAGCACAGGTACAACTGGCATGACTTGATATAATGAAATGACTAAACAGTTTAAGTGGCTGCTTCGCTGACAGAACTGAATGTGGGATTCCATGATTAAGTGTTCTCCATTACCTTATTAGCAAATTCATGACCCTTCAAAACCTTGAATTACAATTGTTAAGCACAGCACTGTTTATTATCAGAGTAGACTAAGGAAGTGTATCAGATAACTGGCGATAACACCAAAAGAAGTCAGAGGAAGTTGGATATTTCTTATTTGTTGTCAAAATACTTTCGTATCCAGAAACTATACTTTGAAAAAACCTCTTGCACAGATGTAAAACTGAACACTTTACTGATAAGAGGCCAACATTTTCAGCTAAATGAGATTTTATACATAAAATCATTGAGGACACTAAACAGTATACATGAAATGCTGACTGTCTGCAAACTCTTCAGAAGTCAGTTGAAAGAAGATCCACCCTTCTGAGCACAAGGCAATTTTATCTAGGTCCTTAAATAAACGATCCAAGAATTTAACTTAGAAGCTCAATTACAATCTGAGCACTGTAAATTTTTTTCCATGATGAAGATTTTTTTTTTAATCACAGAAAATACTTAATTGTTTGTATTTTAAGTAGACATAGCCCACTGCCTATAGCTTGAGAAGAGTGGCATCTAGTGGATGATACCTGTGGGCACAACTTACTGGTTATCTTGATGCTTTTTATTTAGGCCACTCATTAAAACCCAAAATGTTAAAACTATTTTAGAAAAATTATTTTAAATCATTTTAATTTGGTTTAAAAATAGAAACACTAAGCTTGAATGTTAATATATCTGTCCTGAGCAAGCAATTTCACTACAATAGACTGAATCTCATTCATTAGATACATTACTTATTACATCTAAACTTGCCCTGCAGAACTTCCAGGGACAGAATCTTGTCTTTGCATTGCACAATTAATCATGCAGGCCATTTGGGCAACAGTGATCTGTCATTCAATGGTCTGCATAAAATGAGATTTCAGTACACTTCCTAATGGGCATGCATATCACAAAGAACATCATTACACAGACTGACTTAAAATGACACACCAAAATCTTGCTGAGATTGCAGTACTATTCACAGAGCTCCATGCAGGTTCAAAGTTCTTTAAGATCTAAATCCCGTTTGTCATGATGAGACCAAAAACTGCACAGAACATGTTCTCTGCAGTCAGGGCAGAGGCCCACAGGGTGGAAAATCCCTGTTTGTTCTCAGCTTTGGTTCATAGAAATTTGTATCCAGTGTTTTTCACAAGCAGAAAGCATGGCTAGAGAGAAAAGCAAACCAAACAAATTATTTTCAGACTTTCTACATAAGTCTGGTATGTTTTCAGTTAATAGCTGGCTAGAGTTGAATTGAATTGCTACAAAACTGATGACAACAAATTTGATTTCCAGACTTACTCCGGCCATTCCATCTACTTGTCCTAGTGTCCATGTTCAGACAAAGCTGACTGACGGATACCATCTGCACTGTTACAGCATTCTCTTACCAGAGACAAAAATCTATAAATTACAGAAAACTGTGGAATATCTTAGAAGACCAGCCGCAATTCTGGTCACTCTTCTCAGCATTGCTATTAGATTGAACTAAACTGCCATGTTAGAGAGTAAGACTATGAAAGTTTGTGGAAGCAAAAAGCTCCCTGCCCTGAAGTAAGACCCGCCAGGCAGAATCACAAGAGACAAGTACCTTTTAGCAAAAGAAATAAAATTAGCCAGCTTTATGCAGTGTCTTTCTAGAAGCAGCACAGTGTTACAGCCAGTGTGACAGATACAACTTAGCAACTCTCAGCCCTAAGAACCAACAGGGATACAAACACTCTTCCCAGGCTTTCTGTAGAGACTTTTAAGTTTTAAATAAAAATAGCGCCAGCTAAATGTCTCCATTAATCCCTTTTAAATTAGTTGCTATTAAATGAATATTTGCCCTCTTCTCTGCAGCGTTTAGAACAACAACAAAATCTCTTCTACTTGCCATCTATTAATAATACATGATTATAGCATCATAAGAAAATTCAGGTTAGAAAGAGAGCTCAGGAGATCTCCAGGCCAACATCCTGTCCAAAGTAGTGCCAGCTATGAAGTCAGAACAAGTTACTTGAGGCTTTACCTAGTTGTATTTCAGAAGCCTCCAAGGATGGAGGAAGCACAACCTCTCTGGGCAACCTTTTCCAATTCCTGACTGTCCTTACGGTGAAAAAGCTGCTCCATGTATCAGTACAGAAATGGATTTCAGTGTATGCTTGCCATCTCCCTGCCATGCACCACTGTGCCATCTTCTCGACAGGCTCCTCGCTGGTAGGGGAAGGCTGCTGTTAGAAGCCCCCAAAGCCTTCTCTCCTCTAGACTGAGCGATCCCTCAGTCTCTCCACAAAGGGCAAGTGCTCCAGCCCCCAAACGTCTTGGTAGTTCCCTGCTGAACTCCCTGCAGTTTGTCATGTCTTTCTCATACCAAGAGCCCAAAACTGGACACAGGATCTAGACGTAGTCTAACAGGTACCAAGCAGAAGGGGATAATCACTTCCCTCACTCTGCTGGTGCTGGTCCTTAGAGCTTGGAACATGGAAGTGTAAGATATAGCTTGTCTGTTGAAATTGTGTTTAGCTATCATTTCCAACTGAGCAATACTAAATATGATTTAACATAAATCTCATCCTTAGTAATAATGTTATTTTTGCCACATTTCCATTCTACATCCTACTATAGTTACAGCAGTTTCATTTTCACATTCACCTGTTTTCTTTAGCATTTGCTTCTAAGCAACAAGTCTTAACTCACACATTAGGTCCAACCCTTTTTTACTATCTACATTTCAGGGATCTGAAATAAAAATTAAGTGGTATGTAGGAAGCGAGCATCATACTTTGCAGAGCCATCGCTTGAAGCTTTTTTTCTTTGATATATTACACTTCCAGTTTAAAGTAATTAAAACTTTTGTGAAATTAACTTGACAAAAGCAGGGTTAGAAACCCCACCTTCTCATCCATAACTTCAAATGATTAAACAATGCAAATATGTTTGGTTTGATACTCCAGATTCAGGCCATGGGTATAACTACTAAGTCATCTGAAATATATAAATTATTTCAACAACCCTTTTTCTGCTCATTTTTCTACACAAACAAGGAGAGACTACTGTACTTCTTGTCCTCCCCCAGACCCTTAATAACTTTTGAAGTCACTAATTCCAACAACAGCGAGAAAGGAATAGACATCTCAAAAACATAAAATCTTCATGGTTTAGAAAAGTTGGTGGCTAAGTAAAGTAAATTAGAGCTACCTTTAATGAAATACTGCAGAATTATTTCAACAGTCAGTCAGTCAGTTAACATGGGAAGAGTGATAACCAACACATGCATACATCTGTAACTCTCAAGCATCTACAGCATAGTGTCTCCTGTCCATTCAGCAGTTAGAAGATATGGTAAATGCATAGCTGAGCAGTTTTGGTCACATGGGCAAAGCAGAAGATATTAGAAGAACCAGAGATGTTACAGAGGTAAGGGAATATAGTACTGCATGGCCACTAAGGACATAGGAGAAATGCGAGATTACAGCAGAAGGAAATTGGAAATGCAGAAGGGCAGGGGGCCTCACCCAGCAGAAACAGAACAGAAATCTGAGGGAAAACTGGCCATGTCAGTGCTACTGTTCACAGAAAAGCCTCCATTCCCTTTGTACTCAAAATGCTGGGCCTTTACATCCTCAAAACCTTCCTACTAACTCCACAAACTAAACTGCAAAGAAAGATTTAAGGTACAGGACTGTTAAAACCATTTATAAATTAGATTGCACGCCACCCACCTTGTCATACCACAATTGGAATCTGCAACATCATGCAAATTAGGAAGGTGAGCAAACCATTCTATTAAATTAATTCCATCATCTATGGAATAACTGCATATATCAGATGAATGGTTAATAACTACCATTTACTTTATAAATGCTTAATTATTGCTCAGAAAATAATTGAAGGCTCCAAAATAAAAGGTGCTAAAGAAGTTGCAAGTGTGTATTTTAGAATTTTGCACCTTACCTTTCAGCACTGAATGCAGACTCTGTGTCAATGTATATAACAGCCCCATCTAGTCCTCCCATGCTTACAGGCAGTGTAGCCAGAACACTCACCATAATACAAAATTGAGTTTTGCCACAACCTGGTGGGCTAGTTATCTGGAATAAAAAAGGTTAGTAACATAAACAAGAGATGCCACATTCATGTCACACTAATTCTACTTTTAAATAAGACCCATCAGCCAGAACTCCTCAAATTCTGCTCTTCAGTTACCAAAGAAAGAGCCATAAAAAGATACAATGCAGCACACAAAAAGCAACTTGCAGTTAACTCTTGGACCTGTGCCTTGCAGTCAAACTCATCCACCGAGGAATAAACAGTTCTTCTTCAGACACAGCATTATGCTTGTACTTTATTTCTTTGATATCCTTTATTACCTCTCATATTTGAGGTCCCCTACTCTCCCCCTCCTCTTACAAGATCTTCCCTAGAGCCACACCTAGTTTTCTTCCATCTTCTCTGTGCTACCTTCTAAAATAGAGCGGAAGATTCACCGTTGACATTCACATGACATCAATGGCCTTTAGAGCTGAAAAAGTCCAGAGCTAATGATTTCACAGATGTAACTGACTGCTTAGGAATCATCATTACCTTGGTTATAACCAGGTCTCCCTTGGAAATCACAAGGATAATCGCTTAGATCTTGTAAAGGCTGAATGTTCAATATGAACCACATATATACGTAAGACAGATTTTATCTGCCCCAGAGACTACACTCTGCTATGCAGCATGTGTTTTGCCATTGGTGTTAACTCCCTATTACCATATTTCAACATGAACACCATTTAATGATCCCAACCAGCTTGCCAATTTTAAGCTTTCACCTGCACTTACTGAAAGCCTACTGCGGTTAAGCAGTATTCAAAAAGAGCACACTCTGTGTGTGTGAAATGGTTCCAGTATGATTTTGATCCAAGAGAAAAACCACAAGGATCAAAAGAATACATTGTTTGATGAGATCCCCAGTTTCTAAGAGCAAGATTTTTCTACTAGAGATGGCAGTATGCTGTTCTTCATTCACTGCAGATCTTGCAGAGACTGTAAATGAATGCTGGGCTCTGTTCAGATAATCATATGTTCATTACTACTACAGTGGGTCTTTAAATACAGTATCACATTGTCACTGCTTCTGGGAAGGGAGATGAGCTCATGATAATGATCTTAAATACTAAGAGGGCTGAAAAACAGCAAATACAAAGTTGAAGTGACTTTAGGCACTAAAAACAGAGTGGTGGGTTCATTCTCATGCTACCAGGGACTAAATAATAACACAGGACAAAAGTAAGCCTCTCCAGGGAAGTTAAACTGCAGAATGAAGCATACCTCTTCAAAATACCTAGTACTGCCAAAATAAAGGTTTAAATACAGAGCTGCTGTTTTAAATTAAAAAAGAAACCTTACAACAGACACTCAAAATCAAACTGATTCTTGAGCCTAAATGCACAATAGTTAGTTTTTAAGTACAAACACCCTTTCACCACTAGATATTACAGTATTGCTATGGTTTCATTTTAAGAAGCAGCAGCATGACTTGAAGCACAGAAAATTTACAGGGAAACAGTGAGGGACTGCATTAGCTACAGTTATACATTAGCTACTGTTAACAGTTGGTTAAAATCCCTTTAATCACTTTTGTCTTTAAACAAGGCCTGAAAACCAAGCCATATCAGTCAATCTACTTGAAGCTTTAATGCAAGAGAAGCATTAGATGATTTTTGTTCAGAAGCACATGCTGCATTTAGTGAATTACAGATCAGGAATCAGCGATATTTAAGCAATTATCTGTCCTTCATGCAGTGTACTTAAATTACAAAATATCATATCAACAAGAGCTGCCACATTTTAATATGGACCCAAAGCATATAGAAAAATTGCAGAGGCAATACACATTCCTTAGACTGTGATAGCCAAGGAATCTCACCAGCTGTTTCTAGTTAAAAAGAAGACTTGAAGTGAATGAGGGGAGGGCATCAATCCAGTTGTTAAATTAAAATGTTTGGACAACTGTAAGGACACCTCATAAAAACGTTTGTGGTTTCAGCCTTGCCTGGGAGGTGCATTGGAACCAACATTTATTTCAGTGGCTGATGCAGGAGCTAATTCAGCAGAGATGCTGTAAAAATGTCTGAGGGTATGAGCATCATATCAGAGAAAGACAGGGAATCTTGCAGCACAAGCTAGTACAAGCACACAAGTCAATGCAGCAAGAGAGAATTTCTATTCCTGAAGACAACAATACTTCATCTTTTATCAGCATTCCTTTAAAGGGCATTAAAATGGGATTTTAAATCACAGTGAACAATTTTAAATAACTACCACATTTAATTGTAGTTACCACTGGTTCAGCAAGTGTTTTGAACAACACAATCTTAGTTAAAAAAAAAAACACTAAAACTCCTCTAAATTTAAACTGAATGTCTGCAAAAAGCTTGCTTAGTTTGTTTTACTCTAAATTTGCTCTGAAAAAACAATCAAGTCCACCCAGATAGAAATGTGAAGACTACAACAGTTTTTAATTTATCTCTGCCTAATAAAATTTACTTTTATTTTTCAAGAAGCTATATATTATTTGCTCTGGCACATCTGTAGGGTTTGGATGAAGTCACAAGGAGCTAATTCTTCTTCAGCTACCAGGGGATTAAACTCTTCAATATTCACAAAGTCATTACTTTAATTTTTCCTCAAAGGAGTTGGCCAAAAGCTCTGACATCTGACCACAAAATTTCAGCTATGATTTCATTTCCAACTTAAAACCTAATAGTGGTTTGGGAAAAAATGGTCCGAGACAGTGTAACGCAAATCAAATCCCTCTGGCACTCAAGAAGCAAGCAGCTTTGGCTGTAGAAGATACCACCACAAGTCATAACCCTGTGGCTCATGTACTCAAATTCCAAGTTTCCAACCACCCTCACTGCTGGGTAAAGTAACAGGAAGACAACGATTTAGCCACACCAGTCAGGAAATAAATGCTGCACAGAACATACTTTTGAAGAGAACTTCTCTCAGACTTAGAATATCTGGCTAATTAACAAAAATACCGAAGGGCAATCTGCTGGTCAGCTATGGTCCAGTAAGTTGCAAAAGAGCAAATTAAAATTATTAAGTTCAAAAATCACTTGAATCCAAAAAGAACATGACCTGAAAGTGATCGCAAGCTGCAATACAGCATCAAAGCAGCAGACACTTAATAGTTTTCTACTAAAATCTCATCTAACAATTGTGCTGAAGAACACTTGCAGCACTGCCAGCCTTTGAAACTACTTCAGATCTCATGAGTCCTGCAAAAACACTTTTAAAAATCTCCAGAACCAGGCTTTAAATGAGAAACTCAGTTTCGGCATAGTTACTTGTCCTCTGCCTTTATGTTTGCTGAGAAACCCCTAATACATGTCCTAATCGCTTTCCACATTTAGTACCTAAAAGGCAAATGAAAAGCAATACACTGGTTTTTTTTAAAGACACCTCTAATGTCTTAAGTTAGTCATCTAATTTCTGGAGTCTACCTAGTTCTCTCTACAATATTTCTGATTAAACAGTCATCATGCATCAGTATTGTCAATCTGGCATGAGAGTGCAACCAAGATCAAGCTCGTGGTGGAAGGATGTAGTGCTTGCAGTTCTGGTCTCATCCACTAGATGTCTTGTAAAGACGTCAAGATCTCAGTGAGATCACCTATTGAAGATAACTGCATTATGCAGGTCTCTGTATTTTTAACCAAAATATGTTAGAATAAAAAAAACCCTTAACATTCAAAAGGGGTTTTTTTCAGAAGAAAACTTGAAGTGCAACACCCCTCCTGGCACAGTGCTTTTCATTTACAATCAGATACAAGCTCAGCCTATCTTTGAATATATTAATTTCCCCCAACTACCTCTAAATACATGGATACATACGGAGTATGACCATTCTTAAAATAGAACTTAGCAACAGTTTCCCAGATTTTCTCATATCTAAAGACATAAATGTTTTAAGGAAACACTGGAAAAAAAATATTAAAAATTGAGTATTGCGATAATCAATGAAGCTAGGAAGTATTATAAAATACGTAGCTCTGGATATTAAGCATTTGCTTCCTGAAGGGCATTATTTTATACCGTCTCAGGAAAATGATATTTGGCATCCATGTTTTGAGATCAACTGCTTGTAGAACTTCCTTTAGAATTAAAAATAAATAAATAAATAAACAAACAAACCCCACCAGACCAAAACTTAGAAGTCAAAAGTTAGCTACACTCCAATAAAACTCCCAGCATATCAGCCACTGCTTTTCCCAAATCTCCCTCTGGAGCAATGCCAAGAACATGGCAATCAACAAGCTTAAAGTCTATCAGCGCTCCAGAGCCATCCTACCTCGTCTTCAGGCAAGAACATGTCAGATAGACTGCACTGACAGCTGAATGATAGCTACGTTTAGGATTAAGAAGACAGACAAATATTCACAGCATTGTTATCAGCAGCCTTGTAAATTAACTGCGTGGCTCTTCCAACCCAAAAGGATCACATCCACTGATCTTTTTAATTAGGAAAAAAAATATTCCAGGAGCCTTTAATGCAAACTTTTACACTTTTTACATCTTTTACTCAAAATTGCCAAGCCACAGGAAGGAGGGCAAAATAGCCTGGGCTATCTGGGTTGACCTATAGAAGGGTGACATCCTTGTTTTGGGTACCACTCATTAGCCAGTCACAGGCTCAAGAACAAGTTGGCATATCACAGAAAAGACACATCTCTATTCTACTGCTTTCTCCTGCCTGTGCAGCAGTGGCTCTACGTTTCAACTAAAGAAGCGCAATTCAGAAGTTTAAGCAGCATAAGCATGTGAATAAGCACGTGAGCAATCGTTCTCTGCCTCCACCGAGGAAAAGTTAGTGGACCAGATGGAAATCCCAGAAAGCCAGATCCTAGCTGCAAGCGAGCATCATTTCTTTTCAAACACGGGCTGTGCTATTTTGTCAGTTGACTGCATGAACAATAATCCAAAAGAAAAGGAGTCAAACTACACCTAGTGTGGCCACTGCTTTGCTGATAAAAATATTTTTAGGAACCAAAAACTCATCTCCTGCTGAAGGCACTATCCTCAACAGCAGCATAGTTACAATGTTAGGACCCTGCATATCCCACTGCTGCTTAGAAGAACAGCTCTTTCTTCTTTAATGAAACAGAATTTAGCAAGTCTTTTCTCCCAGAATTTAAAGACTTGCAGTATTCATCTTAAGTTCTTCTGATCCAATTTTCTTACAGTAAATTGGTAACAAAGCTAGGCCTAAATATGAGGAAAATATTAATTCTGACAGATCGATGTAAGTTCATGGATGCATTCTTAAACATTTTTATGAAGACCTGAATGGTGTATATTCCTGTATATTGTATACAAAAATAAATACTCAGAACCTTTAAAAAGTAATATCCCCTCATTACACAGGAGTTTACTAGAGCAGAAACTGTTATAGTCTAAACTCAGTGTTACTTTAATATGTTTTAAGTCACGATTGGATTTCATAAGTGATTTCTATCTGAGCTCAAAACCAATCTAGTTTGATTATAAGGTGTGGAAAAAAATGTATTTTCCTCATAGTAAGATTTTCGTAACTTCTCACTTCTACGCCTCAACTGTGGCAAATTGCTGCAGTAGACAAAGAAAAGCACTTGGTAAGGACTGTTCAAGTGTTTAAGGGAAAAAAAAAGTTTGCAACCTGTCTAAATTCAGAGCATGAGGCACACCACATATATTTTTCCACCCACTTCAAGTGCACAGCTGAGTTCAGAACCTTACTTTAAGAAGGCAAGTATGGCCACAATGCATAAAACCAACGTCCATCTAGCTCTGGGTTCTGTCTCTACTGAGGGCCTACAACAGATGGCTAGGGGAATAACATAAGAAGAGGGCACCCATATGTTGATACTCCCTCCGATATAAACGTTTCTTCATCTCCACTTGTAGCTCAGCAAATTCCTAAGCCAGAGATTGCACCTTTGTATTTTTTTAATACTCAGTGACTCCTATGGGCATCTACACAAATCCTGTCTTTCCAGATTACAGAAATTATGCAAGTTGTTATCACTTACTGCAAGGCCATAGCAAAATCCAGGTACTAGATGATGAAGCGGTCCCTTGTTCTTAAAAGAAAATTCTAAGCAAAAAAGTAGCATTGCATCCAAAGTCCAGAGAGTGACAGAGTTATAGAGAGATACACAATTTATAGTGTTGCAATGTATGTGCATATAATACAGGCCTTAATTAGTCTTTTTTAAAAAGAATGCATTATGTATTTATTGCATAAATTAGTTACATTTATATATAAAAGCTCTGTAAAGTCATTCTCATGCCTATATGCTTCACACTTTTGTCCTAATTGCTTGTTGTACCTTCATAAAAACTAATGACTTGGTAAAATTAGAGTGAGTCAGTATTAAAAGGACAGACTCGTGATTCAGCACCTTGTGCTCTGTCTATGAAACCACACTGCAACTTTCCCACTGTAAAATCCAGCCAACAATTCTCCCAAATTTCCTGGGAAAATTTTCACTTTTTTAAAGAAAAACAGGGTCACCATATTTTTTTTTTTAATTCCTTCATGTTCTTTCTTACCTGACACGCTGGGGGCAGGGGGAACCCACCACCAGAAAAAAAGTGCAGCCTCTACCAATTAAAAAAAAGCACTTATCATCCAAACTTTTTGTGTATTTTGTGTTTAAAGCACCTGACACAAGACAGTCCAACCTATCTGTGACTTGACTTCTAGGTGTGATGTGCAACTGCAGTAAAATACATTAAACAAGTTACCTCTGTGAGGGATCCACAGGGCACTCCACCATGCAAGACTTTATCCAAACTATGCAGCGTGGTGGATAAAAAGGCTGAAGAGGGATTGATAGACTTCCTCAGTTTCATTTCATAAGCCTACAAAAGGAGGGAAAAAAAGCAAAAGAAAACAAACACACAAATCAGAGAATGCTTTTTTTTTTTTTAATAGAAGTCGCAAACTTCTCACATTTGCTTTCATCAACCTGGAATGACTTAACACTTGCCAATGAGCAAACTATTCCTATCTTCAGCTATAGCCCTCTGTTGGCTCATCACCCTTCCTCGCATTTGTATCCCTTTTACAGCTCACAGAGTAAATTTAAAGTTTGTTGTATCTCCCTCACCACAATATTAAATAACAAGCCTTTAACAAGGATGTGTCAAAGGTTTTCTCTGCTCCTATTCAACAAGGTTGGCTTTCAACCCAGAAAACTCCAACTTTTAAATAAGTAAACACTATATGTATGGTTAGCAACCAATGCAGACCACTCACATGAAACCCAAAACCAAGAAACTCCCTGGCCAATGTTCGCTACCAATTTGAAACTACCTGGTTTGAAGAAATGGTTTGCTAAAGACTCCAAAGTCTTTGAACAAGCCTAAGCTAATCCTGTAGCCATTCATAATTTTCCCACTTTTGTGAGGAAGACTGGTCAAGACGACAGAACAGGTACAGAAATGAAAATAGTTGAATTCCTAGTTCCTCCATTGGCTAGAGGAACTGGACCAAGATCAGAGTTCTAGTTCATAAGAATTATTTTAATTTGGGGAATCAATTTAAACTGGACAAAGAAGAAGTAATAAAACAGAGATGCTGATCTGGAAACACCAAAACATGATGTTTCCAAAAGAAACAGGTCTTGCTCACACCTTGCAGACATCTGCTAAAACTGACACATTCCTCAAGCACTGAGCATCCTGAACATCAGAAGTTTGATTTTTAAAAGGAACAGTCTAAGATCTAGAGGTTGTTGCTCTAGTTATAGTAAAGAGTTCCCAGAGGTTTCAGATTCCTGGCCCAACAACAGAGATTCTTAAAGCCCCATCCCTGCACACCACCATAACCTGCCATGACTGACCACTTCAGAAAACCTGATTTCTCTGTGCCAGAGAGAAATGCAGGCATCAGATTGACCCCAGTCTTAAGACAGTCTGCTGGGAATATGGCATGCTATGGAAGCACCTCCACAGGAATCATCAATAACTAAGTAAGTAACCACACCATTGAATCATAGATGTTTTAGTCCACACTTCTTGGGCCAACAAGCGAACATTTTTTTCTGAAGTTGATCAGAAAAATTTCCAGCTAATTCTGCCAGCAGGCTAAGATAAGACAGCTTGTACCTTCCTTTTTTTAATGCTACAGTTCTTCCCTACATTGTGACAAGTAGCATATTAGAATAATATCTGAAATCCATTCAGACCCTCTCTGTTGTTCAGTTCTGTTGAGGAGAAATATACAAAAAATAGCTTTCAAGACACAGAACAGGCCAATAGGAAAAACAATTAATTTTTACTCACCCAAATGGGATCAGAGTTTATTCTCAAACTCACTTTAAGAGTGAATACATGTACTTATGAAGAAGAATTTGCAACATATTTTCATTTAACCATTTTTTGTTTAACCTCCGATAGGATGTAAACCCTGTAGACTGGAAACAAACCCTGTAGACCATGGAAACAACATTCTAGTCTAGCTTTCCTGCCTAACGTGGAATCTAAAATTTTTACCCAGTGATTTCTGTATTTAACCCACAAAATCAGGGTTGAACCAGACTGTCTTTCAGAAAAAAAAAAAAAAAAAAAAAAAAATCAGTTGTTAAATCAGGAGTCCAAGTGAATGAAAAATTACTACATCCTTAGACAACCTTTTCCAATGGTAACTTATGTTAGTTTCTAAAGATTTTCTTATTACTTTCCATTTGAGGGATTTATTTTTTAGTTTATCTTCCAGCCACTGGATCTTGTTCAGCTTGACTCTAGAGACCTCCAATATAATTATCTTTTTCTACTTAGCATATAATGTGATCAAGTAACCCCTTAACTAACTTTCTCTCTGATGAGGTCAGTAGGCTTCGCTCCGTACTTCATACTGCGAGGCAAGTTCTCCAGAAATTAGGATTTTGCTTATCCTAGCGTACTCTAAAGTTTTGCTGCCAGTGCTTCCAATGTTATATCTGGACAGTATTTTCCCCTTAATTATAACTCCTACTGTGCAATTTATTTATTTTTTTACTCAAAGATATCGTCAAACCTTCTTGCTACATCAGTCACAACGTTACATCAGTCACTCTGACCAGGAGTCCATTTGAAATCCTGTGTTTGCAAAGATTCAATCCACATCCCTTAAAAATAGCTAACATCCTCTCTTTCTGGAAATACAGACCTGTGTTCTGTGCACTTACATAGCTGTTCATCTATCAGCCAGCTCCGTATTAACAGTCCTTGACAACTGCTGTCTAACAAACTTCAGTATCTGCCAAGCTTCTCAGCAAAGAAATTTGATTGAATAGTGATGTGTGGATGACAGGCAAAAGCAAATGCTAGAACTCTACTTAAAACTTCCATCTGTCTTCAATTTAGTATTAACAGTTATTGATGGAAAACTAGTAATTCACCAGCTTTTAATCCATTCAGTATAAGTTATATTAATTCTGTATATCACTAATGCAGTATGTTTGTGAATTTAAAGTTTCACAGAGTTACTGCTACAATGACTATGACCATTACACATAAGAAACTTTGACATTGCTTATTTTTTCCAGGAAAAAAAGCAGGCTGCATTGACTCAGGTCAGGACTGTCCATGTCCTCTCTGTTCTAAAAAGACACCATTTTTGACATCTTTTCACCTGAATTTAAAAAAGAAAACAAAATCCAGCCACTGCATTGCAGCTAACATCTGTTTCCTTCTTGCACTCTCCCCGGTTAGGCTACCTGTAGCCTAAGCCACACTACAGCTCATTTACATGGATGGAAAAAATCCTCAAGAAGTTATTTTCAGGATCACTTCACTTCTTGGCACCAATTGTATGTCTTAAACCAATTTATACTGAAATTCTTACTATTTGCTTGTATTAATTTTTTTTTTTTAGTTGCAGGGTCCAAACTAGAAGTAATTTCTATATGCTGGATTGCAAGAGAGAATGCCGTATTTCCCAGTTGTACTCGGAACCGACTTTGCAAGCCTGAACAATCTCAAGGCTATAATGCCTAATAAAAAATCACTGCATCAAACTAAAGTGCCTCAGAGAGCTAAACTTAAAAATCTGAATTTAAAGATAAAAGTATTATTTCATTGTGCAGTCAAACTGTATCATACTACATCAAAACCAGAATCAACACAAGCATACTTACTGTCTGCATTTTGGGAGCACAAGCTCGGCTGACTTTACAAAGAAGCTTCTGCACATCATAGTAGCTCTGTCCCGTCACTTTCATTAGCTCCAAGAGGGAAAGACATAAAAAGTCCTGAAAGATGACAGAACAGTTCAGAGAGCTCAACCTAGAAATCAAGTCTGGGAACTAAACTGATGCAATTTATATGCAAGTAACATACATTACACAGGTTTACCAACTGTGCCATGTTATACACTATTACGCTATACCTCTCCTACTTTTCTCTGTTACCAGTATATTAAAAGAAATTGTATTCATATTTTAAAGGACATGGAGTCAAAGGACCAAACCTTAAAGAACTGTGCAATGGAATTGCAACAAGATAACACCTTTTGCTCAACAAAAGTCTCTATCTACCTGAAAAACATTCAAAATACATCATGTCTTCTAGATTGTAGTCCTAGGGCTAGATCCTGCATTTATGATGCATATTACTGAAACATATAGGGCCTCTTGACTCTCTTTAGGTGAGCATTCATAAGAACGACTTCAGAACATACTGCTGAATCAACCCATAACTGATAGTGTAACATCACAGCACGTTCTCATGCTAGGCTGTGTAGTATACATGTGTTTTTGTGAAGTGTTCACAAATGGATGTCTTACTCCACACAAGTAGTAGCTGCACACCCCTGCTAAAATAAAGCATCTTCAGGTTCTCCAGAAGTGAAGGTAGTAAGTACATACAAGTTTAAATGTTTTAGTTAGGCATCTATCATTTTAAAGCTGTATTTTTAGAAGGCAGCAGGCCAGATGGAGCCTGAAATGCCCCCTACTTTATAGAAAGTAAAGCTCCCTGTAAATTAAACTACAAAAAAAGTAAACAGTACATACATTAAAACACACACACCCCCCAAAAAAAAGAAAACAACAAAACAAAACCAACACCCAAAAAACATCCCCACAAACATAAAATAACCCCTTCACCTGACAGGTAGTGATCTGATGGCGACTCAGCCTTTCACACAGCTCCTGAGACAACCTTGCTCTTCTTAGTTTCTTAGCAGCCATGCTCCCCAATCTACAGGGAAAAAAAATATTTTGAAAGATGCTTGGAATATGACTATGCAGACAATTACACTTACTCCTTGCTAAAGGACAGGAAAGCATGTGCACATACATGCGTGTGTGTGTATATAAAAAAAATTTAATGTGATATAGACTTCCCATATAAGTCTATGTCATATTAAATTATATTATTGCTCTGAAAGCAGTTATGTTAAATTATATCTCCTCATATTTGACCATGTATGAGATCATGCCAGTAAGAACAGAGGAGTTGGCAATGTTTATAGGACAAATGTTTCTGGGACATAAGAAAGCTGCAAATTACTCAGCAGTGACCTGAACAAGAACTCCTCATGCTATGCTGCACTGGAAAAAAATAAGGTTATATTTGGATGCCTAAACACCAATAGTTGGGTAATCACAGTAAGTACTTAGCCCTAGCAGTATATACTGCTAGAACACAACACTCTATTCTGGTGATCCAGGATTCACGACAGATGTTGGAAGAACAGCAAGGACCCAGAAAGGAGACACCAGAAAGACTGAAGGGCTGGAAACATACTTTAGCGTGCAAGACTCAAGATAGTCAAACTAGTCAAACCCATCTCATAATGTTCTATGTAACAATTTATGAAACAAACATAGTTAATAAAAATTTCTTTAATTTAGCCAAGAGTGTAAAAGAAACCAGAGGCCAAAACTACGCATATGAACACGAAAGCTACAATGCAAGTATTATTTATTCTAAAAGTGAATAAAAATAACATTGGAACAAGGCAGCAACAATTGCGGTATATTCTGCCACTTAAGCAAATTGTATTTATTGAGATTTCTGCTTAAAAGTATCTGATTATTTCAGATAAGCCTTAAGGCTATTTTACGTAGGAGATAAGATTACACTGCCACTACAAATCCTTCTCCCCTTAGCCCTCAGCTATTTGCATTTGTTTACACACACACCTTTTTTTTTGTTTTTTGGTCATTTCATTCTACTGAACAAAACTCCACAGGATGGTATTCAGTTCAGTACAACCCACGGCACATGTGTTCTCCTAACCTATACGTATGTTTGAACGCATAGCTGTTTCACACATATTATTTAGGCAATATTCCTAGTGTTTATTTAGCCAGAAGTTTAAGCAAAATAAAAAGGTTTTTAAGCAATGCAAAATTGCTACAACTTTTGCAGATGCACAGGCCTCCACATCTTCACCAGGTGGAAAGTTTCTTGCCCCCTCCACAAAATCCTCTTTAGACAGGAGGAAAATCAAACCTTTCTGAAGAGTTCAGCGTCCTTCAAGTTACCAGCTGTATTAACAACCATTTGTCATGCAAACTGCACACTCTGCCTCGAGCATTGCAGTGGGTTCTGGTCTTGCACATACACCACGCACCGCTGCAGCTGAGCAAAAGCCTAGGCACAACCCCTGCCCACTGGTTTTGTGGCTGAAGCCACCAGAGCGGATGCGCCCTCTCTGTGCTCCCGGGACGGGCAGGTGGATAAGGACACCCGTGAGGGGGAAAAACACACATCTGTATCGGCACGGACTTACACCAGGTGACGCAGGTGCTGCAGGAGAGCTTGCAACTATCACTTCATCTGGAATGAGAAAACCAACTTACGAGCCCAGCCCCTGAGGGCGAGCAGCGGCGGCGCTGCGGCGGC